ACTTAATTATACGTATATGCATAACTTAGAATTACCATTATTGATTTTAAAATACTCGACACTCCAAAAATTATGATTCTATGTTTTTACTTGTCTACATCACGTGAATATAACGTGAAAAAAAATTAAGCTTGTGTATTACCCAGGAAATGTGAGTAAAAATCATTAAAGATAATGTACAAATAATACAAAAGTCTTTAAATTATAAAATGTTCAATGTGTTGGTGTTCCACTATTGCGAACAAATCAAAAACTTTTGAAAACCAGGTTTTTGATGTGTTTATTCTTAAATATACACACCTAGGTATATATACCTAATAACCACACGCTGTATAATGACATGTGCTTTATCCCTCCTTTATAACTTTAAAAGTTACGGAACTATTTGCAATATATATTAATGAAAGTTAAAAATTCAACTTTAAATAGATTTACATCAATAAATAATTCTACAAATCAGCTGTATTAAATTTTTAAATAGTATGAAAAGAATTATTTTATTTTATCCTTTTTTTTAAAAAAATTGGTATATTAAAACAGCACTATAATGTATTTAATAATTATGGTTTTCTATACAATTTTATTTACGTGCAATATAATTTTTAAAACTTTTTTCAAAAATATTAATGAACAATTATTGACAGGACAAACAGGGCGGTATATCCATATAACATACAACTGTATAATAGACAATAAAATAATATTTGAGTTAATTTCTTATTTTAAAGCTAAAATTTAGACTAAAGTCAATATTTTTAAGTTTTATAACTTATAAGTATGATAATAAATAATATTAAAACACTGCTTTGGACTTAACATCATAAACATATTATTATAACATGCGATCTGCAATCAATTTCTCGCAAAATTGTATTGTATTATTTAGATATAACCACTAACCAGTTACCAGTATAAATAGCTGGTTATAATTATAAGACAGCAACGTAGTATATCTATATTACCTACTATATCGTGGTTCTTAACCTGTAGTCCGCGACCCCCGGGGTTCCGTGATACTCATGTCGGAAGTTCGTGGCTGCCTTATAATTCATAATATGCGTCAATACATGACGGTATTGTACAAGAAAAGTATTCGAAAAAAATTGGTTAGGGGATCCGTGATCTACAAAAGTGTAAGAACCCGCTGTACTATATAACTATACTGACATGTATATATAAGTAGCTTTTTACACGTTTACGGTATGGTATTAATTTATATTAAACATAAATCAAATAATATATTTAATTAAACACTATTTAAAATAATCACTTATATATTATAGCAGATATGTTATCTACAGACTACAGATAATTGTTAAGTAGGTATACCTACATTTTAAATGATTTCATCTATTTTCAATTGTTGATTTCTGTTAAAACGCTATTTTGAATTAATAATTTTATAGTCTTTATTTTTCAGAAGGAAAAAAAGATATGCACATAATATTTAATTATTCAAACAAATTGTTATTATTTTATTATGTCATAATAAAACAATAATTATTATCAATATATTATACCTTCTTATTATTTTTTATAAGAGATTATATGTGTATAAATGTATATTTACTTAAGTCGTGATATAAAGTATAAAGACAGTAATAGTGCGAAGGTATAAATAGATTTAAAAATCGAATACCTAATATACATTCAACTATTTCAACTGGTAAAATAATGTACTTATAAGTTATATTTATATTTGCGAGTGCATATGCGAAAATAATATTTTTTTTACACTTTTAAAACATGTAACTATATACCACAACCACTGCAAGTTAATTCGTATATATATATAAGTTTGCCGCGCAGTGTATTATGCACATTATTTAATACACACGTTCATATTATGTAGGTATACTTGTACGCATATCATTAAATAGTTTTGTAGATACAGTATCTATACAATATAGTATATATAAACATTATACATACGTATATATAGTTAAAATTGAATGCTCGAGTACTTACATATTATTGTGTAGGTATTATTATATTTATAAACATAATAAGCTGTTAATCACTGTGTACTATGTATATTGTATATATGTTATATGGTCGATGTATTGGAATTTGTGTTATTTATAAATAGGCCCTTTGTTATAATTATATGCAGGTACTTACCTTTTGTTTTTCCATATATACCTACTCAACTGCCTACTTACATGTATATATATGTAGTGTTTTCCTGCAGTGTTATGAATTTTCAAATGAGGATTGCTGCAGACTGTAGGGGAAATACAAATTCCATAACCCCGCCAATTGTTAGAACGCTTTGGTTATAATTTATATTTATTTATTTTATACATACTGTACATTAACTATCTATATTGTAAACAGCATTCCTATTATAATTTTAAATTGGTACTTGGACTGCAATTTGCAAGATAATTATTTTATAGATAATAATTGTACGTACCTATTGTAGAATGTTCTTCTATATAAAATATATACAGACAAATTAAAATAAAATTAGTTTCATAAATTATAGGTTTTTAACTTTACACCATGATGGTATTGTATCTACATACTTTTAATATAGATACCTATATAGGTATATACATATATATACCGTAATTCCGTATAATAACCATATATATAGTGTACTTAGTATAATTAGTATACTTATACCTTTATAAATTCATAAATAGTATGTATAATTATGTCATAAATCACATGATTGCAGCGTGTAGCTTTATTTATAGGTACATACATTTTAAATATTTTAACAGAGTATCAACGTATTAACTTTAATCGGTATACTATTGCAATTAATAGCCCAAAGATAAAATAAAAAAAAAATTAAAAACGATTCTAAGAAATATATAGTTTAATAAATAATCAGATATAGTGTATTTCTTAATATTTAGTAAAAAAATCGATATTATAAATAATATAAGCAAAAACACATTTGGTGTGATAGGTTAGAGAGAAGGGTAAGAGAAACTCCCGAACTTTAATTTTTAAATTATAATAATATAATATATTATTATATTTATTTAACATATTGTTTATAGATACATCTAGTGAAAACATATAATTATTATTGATGAATTCAGATCTTTAATTCATATGAATTAATAATAGGTAATATATATTATATTCAGTACCTATATATACAATAATAATCTGGCTGTGGTAGTAAAACAAGGGATGCTAATATATAACAATGAACTACGCTGCATTATCGTATTGTGTTATCGTGTTAGTTTTGCATTTTTAATACAAAACACTTCTCGCGCATCAAAAATAATATTGTTTGAATTCTGATTGGTAGTGACCTACGAATATTTTGCGCCAAACCACCGATTTACAATATATCAATAAATGGAAATGCAGTAATTTTCGATTACAATATTGCTTTAAATTTTTTTTCAGACTGAAAATTCATTTGGTATTCAACTATGCATATTTTATATACGCATACTTAATTATGATAAAAAAAAAAACAATTTATAATACTATAATAGTTTATTATAGTTTACTATAATAGTCACAGTATTGTCGTCTCAGCTGAACGAATATGCATAAAAATTATTCTATATATTTAATACTAATCATTATATACATACGCGCTGGAACACTTTAAAATACAATTACAGTTATATACTATACTATACCATACTATTTATATAGGTATTTATGTTAGTATTTACCTATATAGTATTGTACAGCAACAACACTAAATTACAATAATAATTAGGTCAACGTAAATGGATTGATCGAATATATAATTGATTTCTCACTGCAGTGAACGCACAGTTTTTCGATTTTCGATAGTCTATTATATTCATGTGTGATCTGGTTAGATTTTCAAAAAATTCGATTTTATATCGAAATATATAAGGCTTACAAATTGCAGTTAATGTTTCGTAAATATATGTTCATCCCAGTGATTTAATTTTTAAATACCTAATCACGCAGTGGAAGTAAATAATATGTTGCTGCAAATTGAGAATAGCGTTGTAATCAATCAAAATACAAAGCATAATTATGTAATTGCTGTGAGCTTGGTTAATCGAAATGACAAAACTGTTTACTTTTTTAGACCGCTGCACAGCGTTTAATGTACACGCACTAAAACAATGAAAATAAAAAAAAAATTGTACGCGTTATGCACGCATATACCTATACATTATACATCCTCAGATCCTCTTGTAGAGCAGTAGAAACAGCAAGTATATGGTCTTACAACAGTATAATTTAATTATTACTGTAGACGTGTTCTCGGATGGCAATCATATTAATTCGTCGCGGGTGCCGCGCGCGTGAGTATAAAATCGACGGCGATCTTTATAATAATAGCCGAGGTGGCGGCGGCGGCACGCGGCGTCCGGAAATTAATATTTTCCTTCATTTTCCGCGGCGGCGCGGTGGCGGTACCGTCGCCACGGCGGCCTCCGTCGCCGCGCCGCAGTCGTCGTCGTCGGTATCGTCGTCGTCGGCGGCGGCGGGGTTCGTCATCCATTGGACGGGACGACGAGCACGCCCACCGGCCGGCCACGACCCCCACTAACCCGGCCCTCCGCCACCGCAGCCAGCTCGGCGGACACCGTGGCGGCGAGGAAAAGGCGCGCGCGTCACCACCGCCGCCACCGCCACCGACACGGACGCCGCGTCCTCGTCCGTGTTTAGTCTCGTTCGGCGTGCTTACCGGTCGGTCGGCCGCGATCCATCTCTATCGCCACAGCCCGTCTCCACCGCCGCCCTTCGGCCCGTCACCGTGCGTACCCCACCGCGCTGCCAGTACGCACGCGCAACATCGCGCTCTCGCGTCCACGGTGGCGGCGGCCGCGATCGCAAGCGCACACACACGACAAGACGACCGCCGCGCACGGGCGTCCCGGCAAAATCAGCGTAGCGATGTCCATCGCTACTCCGCTGCCGAACGAGTCGTCGTGTACGTCTCGCACGCGCGTGCAATTCGTTTTTATTTTTAAACAACGTAACATAACGGTGGTACATTATTTTATTATATTTTTATTTTTTTTTTAATTATTACGTACATTACTTTCAATTATTATTATTATTATTGTTGTTACAATTATTTTTATTATTATAATTTTCATCATTATCGTTTTGCTGCATCGGACTACCGCAGTTAAATTGTGTTTTCGTCGTTACGAGTAGCAGGTGATTTTAAACGTTTTTACGCGTCTTACATTTTTTTTATTTGTTTTTCAAATCATTGACATTTAAATAATATTTGCTAGTTTTTTTTATCGTTTAAATAATTTATCGTTTCCGTGTCCGGCGTGTACAAACTGTAACGACACCGCCAGCAGTATCGACGAGAGTTGACCGGTGCCCGGCGGTGTAGGTGCAGCCCTACCCCGACGAGATGGGTTTCCGCGATGGCGACGAATCCGAAAATGCCGCCGCATTCGGTTCGTAGTGTTCGCGGAAAATAACAGCATCATTTCTGTTGTTAGCCTTTTTTCCATCGTTTTCGGTCTTACAAAGTCCGTTTTTTAACGAGGCTAAGCCGCAGTTAGCACCACCGAAACCGAAGACACGTATTTCGGCGTAATTATTAATAACCGTCATAATCGCAATAAATACGATAAACGTAAATCCGCGCCGACTGTCATCGCGTCGTTCATTATCGTCTCCGCACAAGAGCTCCATCACCGTCGTCCGCATGTCCCGCCGAAAGCAATCTAGACCGGTCAAGGTCCTCGAGGATGGGTCAGAGGAAGAGTGCATCAGCGGTGTCTCTCACGGAGAACCAGGTGCGGCTGTCGTTGTCAACGGGCACCACGTATCTACGTCCACACGTCGATTTGACGACGGTAAGTACCTATAAATAGATTTAAATTACCCGTAATTCGTCGCCTTTGAGGGGTGGCTACTCTACCATCGACGGGGTGCGTAAGGGCCATCGTTAGGGGCACACGCACACACGTCACCAAGTACTGGTTTTCTTGTCTAGCACGAGCGCCAAATTTTTTGATATGCGCATCGATCACTCGTGTGAATGTGTGATTATTTCAGGTAGTACCTATGTACTGTTATAACTTATGTCTCCTTGTAATCGTCGTCACCGCGATAATCCGACAATCTATAAAATATATTTTTAGAAAACTAGGAATTATCAACAAACCGATTACGATTACGATCGTAAAAGTCCCTAAATATTGCAATATATTATATTAATTATTATAACATGATATCTCTAGCATACTTGGAACGCTCATTGAAATTCTCACTCTGATTAATTATGATTCTATATAATTTTATCATTTTCTATTACAAAATCTTAATAGTATTATAATATATTAATATTATATTGTACAAAAAAATCGGATGTATTTACAATATATTTTTAATACCGTACAATTACGCTAATCATCATTGATAATTTTATAATAATATTATACATTTTAAACTTGGCTCTAATATAGCTATCTTGTAAAACTTGACAAGATAATAAAGATTACTATTCCCTTAAACATTGTTATTAGTGTGTACTATTTTAATCTTTTAATCAAAACTGGTGTTTACAATAGTTGCTGGCAATACAATTCAATTGCCTTAGGTTATATTGGCATTGTATTGCTAAGTTTTATCTATATTGTATGGAATGTGATACAATATTTTAGTTTGAATGCTATGTTTTAGATAAATGTAAGAATTCGAATTACCCAAACTATTAAAACATGTAAAATTTATATTTTCACTAAATATACCCATACTCTAATCTATCCATACTTTTATCAATAAGAGATTAAAAATAAATAAATAATAAATGTTTTTTCTAATAGTTTTACATGCGACGTAATAATTATAATCACTCTAAATTAATTAATAATGTTATAATTTTTTTTTGTTTAGATAATATTAATACTAATATTTTATTTTTACTGTAGACTATTATTGTTAAACATTTCAGTAAAATAACTTCAAATGCATAAATTAATTGATTTACTATCTTGTAAAACTTTATTAATTCATGATAAATTCCACACATTTAATATTCACAGATAATTTTACTTTAATGTGACTGAATAACTTTATTAACTTATTTATAAATAGTATTAATAAATTGTTTTAGTATCTCAAAAACGACGTTATAAAGTTTTTTGTTTTACATTTTATTTTACCTTGTACAATTATTATGCCCTGTTAATTCATTATAATTCAGTTACATTAAAATTGAAAACGATAAAATGTTCCAAAAGTTATGCCGTTGTTAAAATAACTCACTTGTAAGTACAAAATTATTTTCTTCGAAAGACTTATTAAGCAATTCCGGTAGAAATTGATTGTTCAAAACTTGGTATTTAAAACAAGGTTAATTTTTCGGGATGAAATTAGACATTTGAAAATGAATGATTACTATAAAAAATTTAATTTAATACTTTCTTTTGAACAATTTGGAATATACGCACACAATATAATATTATTGTACACGAGAAATGGTTTTGAATATAAAAGACACTATCGCGTCACATATTCGTCCCTCGCATATACATTTTTATTATACGGCGGGGTGTGTATATATGAAAAACCGTTTTCAGTTTTTGTTTTATGTGTTATTTACACTATTTCTGATGCGTCCAGCGCGATGACACAATAATAAACCGGAGCGTGGTTTGGAGTTATAATAATAAAATTCGTAGTGACCACAACACGCCATATACTCGTACAAATCTCATAACATAACATACATACATATATAAATTCGCCATTCTTGTAGTGTCATATGTATAATATATATATACAAGTTTATGTATATGTGTGTGTTTGCGTGCAAGTATAAGGCGGCGGGGAGAGGACGGACGAAAATTACGACTAGGACTCGTTGAGTAAATCCATGAAAACTACTACAACTACCACTACTGCCCTGTTGTTACTGCTATTACACCCGCGTATAAGAGAGTATATAGTGTGTATAAGTCCTATTTGTGTTATTCGTCCCAAGGGCATGTGTGGTGCAGGCAGTAGTTCCGTCGCAGCGACGATGACTTTATTCCGTTCGCTGCCCGCACGCGCGCTCACACCACCCACACCCACACTCATACATAAAAGTCTGTACGGGTTTGCCAATGTGTGCGTAACGCGTGTATATTATTCTGATTTCACTGTGTTCCGGCACATGAAGTTAGTATATGGTCTACGGGGCTGCTGTTGCGGATCCTTAGCTCTTTTTCTCTCTATTTTTCTCTCCGTCTGTCTCCTCCGTAGAGTATATATATATGATGGGGGTGAGTTTTCCCACCGGGCTCGTTTTTTTGCGGACTTTTATGGATAACGCGCGACCGGTCACTATATGTGTATATTCGTATACACACAGATATATATATGTGGTGGACCTGCAGCAGGAGAGGGATAGCTATCGGTCTTTATTACAAACTATATATACACCGACTTTGTATCATATATGTTATATCATACATATATTGCTACTGCTACTCATCATATACGTTCGAACATTTATAACACGTCTTCGTTTCTGTTAGGTACTAACCTTACCGCACCACACTCCCCGTTGTTGAATACCGAATTTGTATGCTTGACGTCGGAAATGTGCCACATATATACACATTCTCCGTATAATATTTAAAATATATTATGTATATCATTTAGTTAATTTTGGTTTATGATTTATCTCATTATTTGTTATGATCGGTTTAGTGTACTCACATAATAATAATAGTTTAATAATATGTAATATGTAGGCAATTGATGTGTATTTTATTATGGTATGTTTACCTGTAATACGCTCCGAGACACTCTTACATATTATTATTATATTATATTATACATGCGCACAGCTGAACAAACCGACCGAACTGATAAAATTGTATAATAGTATTATAATGATTGTGTATGTGTATAAAGAGAAAAAAATCGATTCGATTGTTACGGACGGGGCAACTGTGACATAAATTTACATGTCCACCAAGAGCAGACCAGGGAATTTGTGGAATTATAATAATATTCATAAATCAATCAATTTCGGCGACGACCGGAGACAACAATAGTACATATAAATAGTAGCGACAGAAGAATTCCCACCGCAATATTTTTTAAATTTTAATACCAGTTTTATATAATAATAATACACGTAAAATTCGATTCGCCGACATTGTGTTTTGTTTTCACATGGTTGTGTGTTAGTGTTTATGCATGTGTGTGTATATACTATTTTAACAGTTTATGGACACGATTTCATTGAAACAACCAAGAATAAGTGTTTAAAAATCGAAATGCATTGATGCAAATAGCGTTATTTCGGTTTTGGATGTGTGTGCGCGCAAGTGTATTTTATTGAGCGGGATAATTTTCCACGTTTCCGGTGTTTCCGTAAAACAAAATAAACGACAAATTTTTTTTTTGCCCAAGACTATTCACAACAATAGAACGAAAAAAAGATATACGTGTGTGTTCGTTTTACACGTATATAGATATAGGTATATTATAAATGTATAAATTATAAATGTTTAGCGTGATGATGACTTGACGGTTTTCATTCATGAAACGTCGACGCCACCAGCAGCAGCAGCACTATTATAATAGGTTGGTACCTATAATATATAATGTACCCGCAACGCGCGTGTACATTGCGCGTCGTGAAACCAAGTAAAACGGCTCACCGGTGGAAAACCGATTCTCACATTGCTTTCTCGGAATACGTAGTACATGGTGGGGAGAAAGACGTTTAATTTTTTTCCGATAATATACATTTTATATTATAATAACTATGGGTATAAATCGTTATGTGTATAGATATATAGGTATATATATCGATCGTAGTGCGTTGTTTCCTCGCGCGCGTCGTCGTTTCATTCATAAAAGAATCGTGGGAGTTTTTTTTTCCTGCTCTAGGACGCTTATTGGAATTAAAACGCGCGCACACCGGAAAAAGGAAAAGGAGGAAAAAACGGTCTTTAAAAAAAATAATAATAATATTACGCGCTGCCGCCGCCGCCTAAAGACATTACCTATAACATATAATATAGGTATATCGTACTACTCGGCGGCAGCACTGTAATATTATTATTATTATTATTATTATTATTATTATTAGTATGTTTTGTATATTTTATATCGGTATATATAATATATTTTTTATATTTTACTACAACTATTACTATTATTACTAGTACTACTAGTACTAGTGTCTACCGACCGACAGGTCGGCCTACCGCGCGGCGCGTACCTATGGTTTGTTTAACAACGGAGACAACAGAAAAACGCGTCTGTACGTATACCGGTCACGCACGGATCTCGTCTACGACGTCGGAAATCGATTACATTTCTCGCGATGTATAGTAGACGCAAGACGGCGGTCGCGCCAGTATTCTACCTAAATCCTCCGCAAGATCACCAAAGACGATCCAATATTATGATATATACGTATAGGAATATAAACGGCCGGATATGTATATTCAGAAGAAAACTCTTAACCGTTGATAACCACAATTTTACATTTATTTTATTAACCGCTGTAGTCCTCGCTTCCGCATCTGTTACCTTGACGGTATCTGCTGTGTTAACGGTAGTTAATTAACAATGACACTATTATTAATATTATATACCTATAACGTAATACCGCGTGAAATTATTCCATACATACTTACGTTTTCTACTGCTGTCGTCTCATCACCGCGATATAGCTGTACAAATATATTTTATATATATAAATATAGTATATATAAACAATGGCATGGCTATAGCGGGAGGCGATGACGTGTGTTACATTTTAACTAAGTTTCATTTTTAAGTGTCTGTTTGGATCAATGGGTCTATAATTGATTAAAAATAATTAACGACGACTCACCTTACA